TCTGGCCAAGGGTCACGTCATACCTTTTGCAAAAGGCGACGATGATGGGATCTAACGAGCCCAACATGAAAGGATAAGTATAAATGCTTAAGAATCTTTTCACATGGGTAGTTATTGATTCCTCAGTCGATGGGACTACTACGTGCTTATCGCCCCAGTTGCATTCTTGTTTTACTTTGTCGAGAATTTTCTCGGTGATTGAACACGGGTACCTCGAGATCGGCTCACATCGGCCTAGTACCGAAGAAGGTTTTTCAACCTTAAAATCGATGACAGTTGAGTACCCTACCGAAACAAACTCCTCGGGGTGGGGCTCCGCCGCATCCTCGCCGCCGGCCGGTCGTGATGAAGAAGCGGCCTCTTTTTACGGTACCGTTTTGGAGGTTTTCGCCATTGATGAATAAAGGATAAGAGAATTAGGGTTGTATGTGATGTAAAGTGTACGAAGCAGAGGAGTTTTCTGAAAAAGATGCAAGAATAGAGAAGAAGCTTTTGAGTGAAAAGTTTGGATAAGGATGAGAGTTTGAATATTTATAGTCTGGTAATGACGGTTCAGAACCGGTAGTGGCCGACCAACGACTGACAGATATTTAATACCTTGGTAACTCGACCGACGGGACGTTTTGTAACATACATCATAATCGGCCTCGTCGTTGACATCATCATCCACCAAGTTGAAATTCGGAAATTCATATTGTTTCTCGTCATCTTCTTTTCGAGAAACGAGGGGACTATCTATATACGGTCAAAACCGAGTCTGCTCTTCTTATGACTAATCGAGATTGGGACATGATGGTCCAAGGTTCATCATTATAATATCGAGCTATGATGCGAAGTTAGGTTGTCGAGTTCGAGCCCCAGAGATCGATCAAGATCGAGATCGAGTCAAGATCGAGCTCGAGACCAAAAGACCGATCAATACCGAGACCGGCCAAGATCGAGATCGAGCTTGAGACCCAAAAACTGGCCAAGATTAAGATCGAGCCAAGAAACAAAAAAGGCGTTATAGCCGTAATTGGGGAGAGAATCTCGGCGGAAATCACTGCTTGAATCGAGGAAAAACTAATTAATTAATCTATCATGGAATTCCCACTATGTATTTTAATTATATTCAAAATAGGATTCCCCCACTATATGAAGAGTTGTTATCATTTGTAACAGGCATTCATTCGCACGTTCACTTTGGGATATATAGCAAAGAGAGCAAATACTATCCTTTTTTTGGGGTTTTGATATTTAGTCATATTGTTTCTTGTACCAATCGTTCTTCACTCAATTTGGAGGTGATAAAACTTGAAGGTTTAGGCCAACTAGTTCATTTGGTTTGTATTCAGTCTTTTATAACTAATTTCGATATTCATTTACATATCTTCCCCGATTTGTATCAATTTATTTCACGTATCCTTAGAACTACGTATAAATTTAACTCCACCCGTTTTTCGGGTAAACAATGTCCATCATATTTTATTTCACTTCAGCGTCACTACTCATCCATACTTTTCTTTCTACAAACTATAAGAGCCAAATCTTTACATACTTATCCTACCCTCTTTAACGGGTTTATCTTTAGATGATCATTTTCATCAGATTTTTTCAAATCTTATTATAAAATCACTTTTATTTTTCTTCACTCTCTTTCTCCATATACCATTTGTAGTTTATCCCAGTAGGCCAATAAAGAGCACTAAAAAGGGAAAAAATACATCGAAGAAACAGCAAGACTAAGTAATTTATGAGGTTAATTACAAAAGAGAAATAGAATACAATAGAAACGATAAAGAAATACAAAATAAATTTTATTAATATTAATTCAGTGGTCAAAAAGTAGAGAGTATGACCAATTAATCTTCGTTACCTAGCAGTGTACCTGAAGAAGAACCAGAACTTGGAGCAGAGCAACAACTTGATACAATAAATAATAAATTAAATTTATTATAAACTGACAATTGGGACAATGTTACACCAAAAATAATGTAAATCAATTACTTCATTCGTTTCAATTTATGTGAACCTATTTGATTGGGCATAAAATTTAAGAAAAAATAGAAGACTTTTAAACTTGTGGTGTAAAATGAGACACATAGAGTTTGTGTGACTATAAAATGATAAATCGTTGCATAAAGACAAATTATTTTCAAATATGAAAAAGGATCATTCTTTTTCGCACGAACTAAAAAAAATAGATGCACATAAATTGAAACGAATGGAGTAATTGGTAATAATATCTTATTAATTTTTCATGAATGACAATAAGATAAGAATGAAGATTATACCAAAGTTATAGACCCACAATCATAATTAATGAATAATTGAACACATATTCAAGTTCTACTAATCCGACAAGTGATAGACTTGAGTAGTGGTGTAAAAATAGTTAAAAGAAAATACTTAATCACTCATATTATCCACTAAAAAATAGGTTTGATAATGAATTTTTTAAAAACGGGTCAAATATGGATAAAACTCATATTATCCATTTAGAAAATGAATAACTAATGGGTTTAACTTTTACATTTGTAAAGCCTCAAATTTGAGGTTCCTCAAATTTGGGAGACTAGAAATTCTATCAAAAGTGATCATAGTCAAGAAGCCATGGATAATATAGTTACACATATTAAACATACGACCCACCGATTAATTTTTTTTTATCCGTATTAAATATGAGTCAGATCGGATAATTTATCCATTTTTTTATTATCCATTTTCGACTCGTCCCATATCCGGCTGACCCGCCCGTTTGCCACCGTAGACTTTAGTGTGAAAAGGAAATAAAGGAGCGATCTGCCAATTATCACAAGCGTTGCCCATTAAAAGACATGTCACAATCTGGTCCCTCTAGCCTTGAAAATCACAATAGGACCTAAAAATGACCAATCTTTCCCTTTAATTTCATTTCCCTCTATTAGATTACCGAAAAGGCCAAAAATCTGCCTTTGTAATACTTACCATAAAATGGCATTAAAGAATGTCATCGGTCGAGCTTATCCAAGACATAACGAGATTAATGATCGAGGTGTCGATATGAGTCGTGGTCGAGACATCAATAGAGATCGCGGTCAAGATATCAACAAGGGTCGAGGTCGAGATCGACTACTAGTGATAAGACTTGTAACGGCTAATTTGTCAGAACATGATATTAAAAGGGGAATATTCTAATGAATATTCCTAATGTTTGTACTATTAGAGTTTCCTAAGATAAAGGCCTCATATATATAGAAAGAAGAGACAATGATAAGGGCATATAATATTATTGCTGATAAGAACACTTCTAAGAAGAAAACTCTCTCTCTGGCACAAATACAAAGATTATCTTTTTACAAAGATTCTTGTTCATATTATTCCCTACTTTTCCATCAGATCCTATGATTGTTCATATGAATCTTGGATCTATCCGTCATACACCGTTGTCAGGCAGAATATTCGTCATATCCATTCGTTATTGGGTGAATCATTCTCTTTATTTACATAAAGGCCATTTATAGACATTTATTGCTAGATATATCTCACTTAATGTTCTTGTTGTAAGAGTATTTTACATTTATTGTCATCAACCATATACGAAATCCGTCTCATCTATTGTGCCTCCTTGTGCTTAATATCTTGAGTTATTATCATTAACTAGATTTAGCCCTTCATCATATAAATTTAATAGTTTAACCGAAAATTATATTTTTTGGTCAAACAATTACCTCTAATCCACTATAATTGTACAGCCTTTATTTATTTATGGGTGCTTAAAGGAAAGAAAAACCTAGACAATAGTATAAAAGAAAAACGTGCAGACGTCAATGAATAACACTAATTTCTCTTATATCTGTCCCTAAGCTAGCGTTTGGCCATAGATTCTCAAATTTGTTTTGAAAAATCAGGGTGAAGTTTGGTTTGAAGATGAAAATGTGTTTAGACATCAGTTTTCAAAAATATATTTTCCAAATTTATTTTGGAAAAACATGAAATATGACTTATACCCACAAGTTCTAAAAACTATCACAAATACTCAACAGTACCATTATCAATAACATTCATTACATATATTGTCGCAAACCATAGTCCTGAACATAAATAAATTTGATATAAAATTATTATTTTTATAATGAACTACATGATACACTATCAAATGACCGAGAAGACGAAGCAACATTGTTATAAAATAATAAATGGTGGACTCTTTTATAAAATATAAAAGTTTGGGGTAATTTTTAAAAAATATAATAGTGATATTTTGGCCCAGAACTAGCTATTGAGCTGATTTTGAGATTTGGAATTTTGCCAAAATATAGGCAAAATCTATGACCAAATATGTGTTTGTCAAATTAAACCCAAATTTATTTTGACAAAATCTATGGTCAAACGGGTAAACCACAAATGTCCTCCTTCACGGGAATGAATGTCGTTATATCGTACATGTACCACCGAGGTACAAAAATGGATGATATTTTTTTAACTTTTAATTAAAGATCTTCATTTGTATTCTGAAAATAAAAATATTTCAGGTAAGAAGTGCACTTACCTCAGTAAAAAATTTCAGATATTAAATAATTAAATGATAAGTAAAAAAATATCATATGTGTAATTTTCTACTAGCTATAATGTATGGTTAGTGGGTGCGTGCAATTAATTGACCTGCAAGAGCCATTCATAGCCAAGATTTTTTTTAGTTTAAAACTTATGTACGAATAAAATATTTATAATAATTAGTAACTTGATATAAATAATAGGAGTAGTAATTAATTAGTTATAATAAATTAAACAACACTAATAGTGTAAACGTTTTTACGCTATTAATCCGTAATTACATTTTCCCTGTTCATCTTTTTCATGTAAAGAGACTTTTATATTTACTGTTTGCAAATAATTTTAAGATTGTTTTAGTCAGTTTAATGAAAATATCTAAGCTCTACAGTACCGCGTTACAGAAAAACAAGCTGAGGTACTAAACGTGGAAGTATATAGTCTTCTTTGACAAGATTTTCCGTTTGCTATGGTGTAGCAACAGTACGGTAAAGACAGTGAGTTGGTCTGAAATGCTGTCCTAGAGCAATTTTATAAGTTCAAGTTGAGCTAAAACTTTTTTTTTTTAAAAAAGATTAAACGCTTAATGAAGTGTTTTTCATGTTACGAGCAGTTTTTGCTCAAACGCATTAGAGTTCTATGCAGTCCCTTAAAATGAAATAATACCTTTATTTCTTTAGCTCACTGGTTTGTTGCAAAAAATTCCCTTTTTCTCTAAAGGAGGCTAACAAAGTTATTCTTGAGCTTTACAGTGACTGGGGAGAAAGGATTAACAATCTTGGTTGCTTGTTTCAGGGAATATATTTGTTTTTGGATTGTTTCTGTCTCCAATGTGAGTTTTAAGCTTTGCATCCTTCGATTTGCTTTACGACACTTCTACAATGTAGAAAACAACGTTTACCACGTAGCCATTATTCTTTTATGTTTATTTTCAGACCTACATTCAGGAGAGTAATCAGAAATCAATCAACCGAACAGTTCTCAGGGTTGCCATACTATAGTAACATATATGGGCTATTGAACTACTTGATCTGTGCCTGGTATGGCACACCTCTCATATCTGCTGACAATTTGTTGGTTACAACGGTCAATTCTTTTCAACTTGCATATATTAATTGTACTTTTTGTGATGTCTATAGAGAAAGAGAAAAAGGTTAAGAATCCTCTTTTGTATTTTGATTGAAAGCAGTTTTCAATTTTAATTTATATGGCGATTGGTGTTGTTTGTAGTTTAGGATGCTGGAATGGATACTCACAGTCTTTGGCCTATTTGCAATTATTGTAATTGGAAGCTTGCTTATACTTGACCTTCAACTCCGACGCATCATCATTGGCTCCCTGAGTTGTGCTTCCCTAGCTCATATCAATGTTTGCTTCCCCACTGTTTATTATTGTATGTATTATCGTCGACGTTCAGATTCTCTCTATGAATATTAATATCAAGTTCTTATCCTCTTTTGTTTCTTTCCACTGATTCATTGACTAACTCGTCTTCCAGAATCTGGTGATCAGGACCAGGAGCGTCGAATTCATGCCACTTTACCTGTCCCTCTCTACCTTCCTAATGAGTGCCTCTTTCTTTTTGTATGGAACTTTCAGTTTCGATCCTTTTATATATGGAGTAGGAACACTTCTAGGAGTTACGTTGTACAATTGTTTTTATTTGCATATTACAGAAATTCTTCAAGAGGAGACTTTACTGAAGGCTTTATAGTGTCTTATTAGTGAACTTCTCAGAAAAAAAATAAAAAGAAAATAGTGTCTTATCCGTGAAAGAACACCTTGGGGGAAAGGTAAATGCTCGATACCTTTAGCGTCTGTTTCATCCAAAGAATCTAATGCTAATAATCTCTAAATGTGCATTCTGTTAAATAAGGAGTATAGTTTCTGATTTGTATGTTTCCCTTTATTCTGTCCTAGGTGAGAATAGCGCGCACTAGATCGCGTGGAGAATGATGGAAATGCCAAGCTCAAGGTGATGGCAGTTTCCTAGTCATTGAACGCCTTAAACTGTATGTAATATGGCCATTATTTTGTCAAATGGAGTCCATTTCACGTAAGTATAAGTATCTTTACAAAGTGTAGACTTGGGACCCAAAAATATTGCATTGTGTGTTGGACATCATTTGCACAAGTCGTATCTCTTCTTTTACACCTAAGAGGTCAAAACTTTTTTGCCTATAAAAGGGAAGACCATTAGTTCATTTTATACACACCAATAAGACTTGAGTCTTCATTTCTTGTTTCTTCCTTTCTTCCTTTATTAAGAGTGTTTTGTATAAGAGTTAAGTGTTGGGAGGCACTTGTGTGAACCCTTTCTTTGAAGTTATCTTGTGAGGTTATTCTCTTAGGGTATTTGGGATTAATTAGAGTGTTTACTCTAATTTTGTACTCTCTTTTGTACTCTTATTGTTATAGTAAATTGCTCCTCTCCGCTTGTGGACGTAGGTCACTTTGACCGAACCACGTTAAATTTGTGTCTTCTTTATCTACTTTAATTGTCGTTGTTATCAACTTCCATTGTCTTTGTTATTGTCATTATACCGTTGTTTGGCTATATTCTGCACTATTCGGGTTCCCGATCCTAACACTATACCTGGTTCCGGAATAGTACAGTATCTGTTTCTGCATATATTGTTTTCTGCATATATTCTGCAAAGTTGAAATAGGAGAACTTTGTGGATCCGCTATGCATGTTTTTATATTGTTCCTGTTTTCCTTTTTTAAACCCATTCTAGTGATATGGATGGAATGAACTCAGAATTACTTCAGAAACAAAGTAATTGAAGGTAGCACATATAATTGTGATTAAATTTGGCACATTCCTTGTTCTACATTAGAAATAATGCTAAAGAACCTGGTATCAGTTAGTAAGTGTAAATTTCACAAATGTTCGTATAACTATGACTTTTTTTACCAAAGTCGTATAACTATGTTTTTCCATGCAAAAATCATAAAACTTCTACTAACTCACACAAAAATCATAATGTACAAAAAATATAACTTTTTAGTAGTATTTTCTTATTCCATGGTTTTTTATTTTTTATTTTCAGTCTAGTAAATAATAATTCAATTAAAATAGGAATGACTCAACCCGACCTAACCCACCCGAACCAATAGTCATATATATAAATTAAAATAATACTAAAAGTGAATCCTTCAAAATACTATACTTCTATCTTTTATTTTTCTTTTCAAGATATTCATCTTTGTTTTAAGTTCTCTCTAATTATACATTTTATTTCTTCTTCTTCTTCTTCTTCTTTTAGTGAGAGTCTCATGCATTTCAAACTAAGTTTTTTCGTGAGGGAAAAATTCAATTTTAGTATTATTTTAATTTATGTAAATGGGTATTGTGTCATGTTGGGTTGGACCATTCCTATTTTAAGGAAAAATATAAAATTGAGCGGTCAGCCGAAACTCTCTCTCTCTCTCTCTCNACTACCGGAAAAATGTGTTTTTCGGTCACTATGATTTTTGTATGAGTTAGTGAAAGTTTTATGATTTTTGTGTGAGAAATTAAAGTAATATGTCTTTGGTGAAAAAGAATCACAATTATATGTGTGTGTGTGTGTCTATATATATATATATATATATATATATATATATCCTATTTTAATTGGGTTATTATTTATTAGAGTGAAAATAAAAATAAAAGAACCTGGAATAAGAAAATACTACCGAAAAAATGTGTTTTTCGGACACTATGATTTTTGTGTGAGTTAGTGAAGTCTTATGATTTTTGTGTGAGAAAACAAAGTAATATGTCTTTGGTGAAAAAGAGTCACAATTATATGACCATCTGTGTTGGTCCATTTATGCATAACATGGTTCTAAAGAAAAGGAATAAGCTAGCTTGAGCATACTATGTTAGAAAATTAATGGGATAAAATAATCTGGCTTCGATAGTGTAATCAATCTCCTTGAGGAATTTAAACTTCCTACTTTGCTATTGCATGGATAATAACAGAATTCCTCCAAGATTTTACAAAGCCACTGAAATTTGAGTTTCAGCAATCAACTCGAATTTTTCACAAGAACGGAATATTTGTGAGTTGTAGAAAATAAGTAGAAGAAAAAGAAATGAAAATCTGATGTTTTATTTCATTTTGGAGATAATATGGGTATTTATAATACCTCTAGGAGTCTGTTGGAATTAACAGACTCATCTGCCTATTTTGAATTTATAAAAAATTGTTAAAAAAGGTTCTTCTGAAATTAATTTTAAAACGTTTTTAATTAACTAATAAAATAATAGGTGACTAAAATAAAAATTCTAGGCTACTTAATTAGCTCGAGTGCTCAATCTTGACTTTAATAATATAGTTAAATTTTAATTTTCCTCCAAAATATCCTTAAAAATATTCAAACTATATAAGACAAAAAAGTGATTTTAAACACTTTTTCCTTTCTTTTTTTTCCTATGAGGGACAAAACAACCTCTTCTCAAATACTCCAATCAAACACTAACTAATCTATTTTACTATGAATTCAAGTTTGAAGATGCAACTTTTAGTACTAGTTATTCTGTAATCACGTAGCAACTGCATTGAAAAACACGAATAATACGTAATTTAGTCAGTTTTAATGCATAATAATGACATTCCACTAAATATATCATCATATCATGTGTATTTATCCCGAGTTCATACATGTTGGCACAAAAGAAAGTTAAATTTTTAATCCATTGATTCTCCAAAAGAAAGTTCATACATGTTGGCACTAAATATATCATCATATCATGTGTATTGCGCGCGTGCTTCTTAACTTGTTTCATAAAATCACCATGCAATAAAATAACATCTTTATTTATTAATTAAAAATATTAAAGATTTAAGAAACGTCATAAAATCTAGGAAAGTAAAAGTGGTGAACTCATAGTTCACGGTATTAGCACATTCAAAATTTAAAAATTAATTGTAATATAGTATAGATATATAGATAATATTAATTATGGCTTCAAATCAGTGCCTATGTCTTCTTTTTCCTAAACTTTATTTAATTGATTAAAACATTTTGTAATACCAAAGTACCAACACCACATTAGATACGTTAATTTGTGATTTGGATACCTTCCGGTAATGAAATAAAATCATCACGTAACCGAGCTTGAAAACATATCTTCTTGACAAGTAGCGATAGCTAATGTTTAGCTTTAAACAATTTCTAATATTTAGTACCATTAGCTATAGTTATATTACATAGTTTTAAAAGGGAAATAAATTATATAAGGTAGAATATTAATTAATTTTAAAGTCTTAAATATTAATTCAAATAAGGAAAACTTTTGTAACCTATATTTTAGGTGATTTCAAAGTCCTAAATTTTAGAAAATAATTGAATTATAATTTTGTCTAGTGTAAAATCTATTTTTAAAGGGTAAAAAAGACGAAATATTTTACTAAGTGCATTCGTGCTTTTAATATATTACTAGTCTTAGGGTACGCATTTTGCGCGTGTACTAATATTAATAAGTATTATAATTTTAAAAAATCATGTAAATATATTAAGCTATATTTTTGAGTTATATAAAATTATAAGACAATAAAAATTAAAGAAATTTCTTAAAATGATGAATATTGTTCCCATTTCTCAACAAATGAAGGTTTTTCCATCCGAAGACTTTATTATGAGGAGTTATGTTGGAACAATAAAAATTCATGTTATATTTGTAACTTACTACTGAAAATAAACACAAAAATACTTTTAGCACAAAAATGCTATTTCATCCTTATTACTTTAAATTTTTATTTTTATCAGTTTAACTCTTAATACTATATTTTAATCAAATTTACTTTATATTCGTCTTAAAAAAACAAAATTATATACCTTAAACTACCAATAATAATTTCAATTTCTTTCTAACCAATAAAAAAACGTAGCGATAGTTGAAACAAATCAAATGCAAAGGCACCAATGTATTGCTAGGCAAACTGAGAATCTTTAAACAAAACGTTTTTATAATGGACATTAATTTGTCGATTAGAATCTATTTACTTAATATTAAAGAATGCCAGTATTCATGAAAATTTTGCTATAATTGCACTTCCGAAACTATTAGAATCCTTATTATACACTATAAATGATGATTTAGTCCAACCTTTTATGTCACGACCCCAATTACCCTCCGTGGGATATTGTGACGGCACCTAGTCTCTAAAACTAGGTAAGTCTAAACAATACGCAGAAATATAAAATAAGAGATTAAAACTTGAACATCCCAACAATTTCATAAAAGGAATCTACCAAAACCTGGTGAGATATAAGTCACAAGCTTGAAGTATAGTACCGAATAATCCTATACTTCACCGTCTATCAAAGTATAAAGAATTAAGAGAAGAACGGAATAGAAGGGGACTCTGAGGCCTGCGGTCGCGGGCAGCCGGGCAGGTGTACCTTGAACTCTCCAAGTAGTAATACAAAAGTGTACTAATATCGGGGCTGGTAAGATGCACTTGGATCTGCACAAAGACATGTGCAGAAGCGTAGTATGAGTACAACATAACGGTACCCAGTAAGTGTCAAGCCTAACCTCAGTAGAGTAGTGACGAGGTCAGATCGGGGCCCTACTGGAAACAAGGCAGAAGATATAATAATATAATAAAATGACTCTGAAGTAAACAATGAGAAAGTACAGCAAGATAATAACACGGCAAATAGAGGTAAACAACAGGGGCGCTCCCGAGGTACCGCCTCATAATCCCAAAAGTAAATATGCAACAAGGGCGCTCCCGAGGTACCACCTTGTAGTCCCAAAAGTAAATATGCAACAGGGGCACTCCCAAGGTACTGCATCGTTGTCTCAAAAGTAAATACACAACAGGGGAACTCCCGAGGTAACGTCACGTAGTCCCAAAAGTAAATACACAACAGGGGCACTCCCAAGGTACCGCCTCGTAGTCCCAAAATAAATATGTAATTGATAACCGATGGGACCATGAAATTACAGCAAGGAATCCTACAGTTAAAGACTGAATACAAATCAAGGAAAGCAGGTAATCCAACTAAGCAAGTTGCATAAATTGCAAGTAAGAGATAAGACACGTAGACATGCGGCATTAGCCTAAACATGATGACTACACATGCTAGAGTAACTCAGTTAAGGAATTAAAAAGGAAACTACTTA